ATGCTTACACACCGGCGACTTCATTGAAAGAGGAGAGGGTTTAAGCTCTTTCGACGGGTCTCCTGCTTCTGCAGTTTAACAAGCACTTCAACAAGCCTGTTTTTTTCCCGCTTGGCAAGCCAAGCTGATGTGACATGGAGGCGTGGCAGCATCGATGATTCTATTTTTTGATTAGATAATCGAAATTGAGCAAAAATTTTTATCGATTTCGATTAAAAATCGAAATCGTGACACCCCTAGAGAAGAGCCTGCTTCTTAATAATTCATGACTGCGCATGCTTTTCGAAGGCAAGACAGACTTGCTAGTTTCAAGCAGTGAGACACGGACCCACGGCACGCAGTATTTAGCTGTTCATGAAGGGTCGTATGTGTTTGTTTCCATGATCCACGGGGTTTGTTGCATGTTTTTTACCCACGATGCAGTCAGGGACTATACAGCAAAGCTGTATGTGTCCAGCAAGCATTATTGTCAGGAGAGCAGTACGAGAATTGGAGAATGGCAGACGTTGTCCTTTATCAGTGGAGTTCGTTCACATTTAGACACATCGCCATGCTGCTGTGTTCGCCAAAATCCTTCAGGTTTCTAACAGGGCTAATGGTTAAAATAGACAGCAAGAGACCTGCTGCACTGAGTCTGCATTCAGACCTGGGGATTGAGGGAAAAGTCCTCATTTATAGGGCCTATCATACACCCGGCGCAATGTGGCGCAAGGCGCAGCGCAATAGTCTTTTATTACTTTAAGCTTGGCGCAAGGGTCATTTTGAGGCATTGCGCCACGCTGTTTAAATAGCAAATGCATTTGCGCTCAATGTGCGCACATAGGTGTTCTGGTCTAAAAAAGCAGGCGTGTTTTGGCGCGTTGCTATTTTGAGAAACTGTAAATAGTCTGTTCTTTAGACCAGATCAAAGTCAGTCTATTGTCAGGCGCAAAGTGCGCCTGGCTTACACACTACACACAAGATGCAATACGCAAACATCTTTACATATGAAAAATATATAATATATTAAGGATATATATAGGATATAATAAGGATATATATAGGATATAAATATAAATGATTAAAATATTAAAAAACATATTCATTTCTAGCCTACATGAATTTAAAAACCACTGCCTTCATACTTTCTTTATCTCGGGAGGCTTTTTCAGTTCATTCAATTTGCTTTTGTATAATGTTATTATTATTAGCAGTATTATTTATTATATTCATATTCATATTTGTTTTATTAAAAACAAGCTTAGATTTGTCCACTTGTCAGGTTTTAGACCATATGGGGCATAGCAGGTGTATTTGGAAATAACTCAGTATTTTGACCACACTTTGTTATTATTAATCATTTATTTGTTTTCTGGAAATTAGAACTGAATTTAGAAATAGTTTTGAAACAAATCTTTGTGCTTAACAAACGAAATTAATTATTTATAGGCTAATTGATGTCTGTGCGGTAAGGTTTCCCTATCCACGAGAGCAAAAGCGAAAGTGAACTTACTTTACGTCATGTAAATAGCAATGCGCTTATGGCGCGATGCAGCAGGGTCTTAAAGGGAATGGGAAATGAGACTCTAATTGGCTTATTCTCAAAACACACCTATAACTCATTAAGAAAATAAACTCAACCCTTTTAGACCATGCCCCATGGCGCAAAGCGGATTTTCCCGTCCTTAAGTTAACAAAAAAGCGTTCTGACACGCCCTGAAAGCATTTGCGCCCTGCGTTTTGCGCTCTGCGCATGGACCGTCAAAATAGAGCCCATAGTGTTTATATGAACACGATTATCTTTAGAATGATATAAATTGTGGTTGTGTGTATATGAAATTTCGAATAACAAATGTAGCAGGGCATAAAATTACTGTTTATTTCTTTGCATTTTTACTTTGTAAACTATAAAATCATGCATCTCCTCATGGTTTGTGTCTCATTTTGTGAGCTAACTGACAAAAGTTGTTCGCTCCCCTCCATCTCCCCTGCTGGCCATGCCCACTCCTGCCCTTTGCTCGCAGAGCTCCATGCCCACTATGATGCAACCTGCAGTCTTTGTGGGTCCTAACAACCCAGTATATTGATGGGGACACTGTACTGCTCAGTGAGTGCCATTTTTAGGAGGTCCTGACTCTCTGTGGCCATTAAATATTCCAGGATGTCCTTCGAAAAAGAGTAGGGGTTTAACCCTGGCCAAATTTACCGACTGGCCTCTGTCCACCATGGCCTCCTAACCATCCCCATATCATAATTGGCTTCATCACTCTGTGTGCGGACTGGTGTAAAATGGCTGCCTTTGCATCATTAAAGTGGATGCTGTAAACAAGTGGCGAGTAAGGAGATTCCCGCAAAAAATGTGTAAAGCAAATTGAGTGTCCTGAAACCGCTTTATATATGTAAGGGATTATTATTATTAATATGTGTATGAAATGGGAGACAGACAGACAGACAGACAGACAGATAGGATAGGATAAAGACTGGATAAAATAAATGACAGATAGACATTGTTGTCCTAAATGTTGAATGAAGACAATGATAAGTAAGAATAAACCCATCTGTCACAAACATGCAACACTCAACCACCATCATGTACCCAAAAACAAACAAATCACACACAAGAATCATTGACTTGGTGCTTGGACTGCAATGTAAATCGGTCGACTTGATGACAGGACTACAACTTAACTCAACCGTATATTAAAAAAGCAGCTTACTCTTTGAACAGTCAGTCAATCTTACCATCAAGTAAATCTGATGGATGGCCTGTTAAACCCTTCCCAATGTTTTCTACATCAATCATCTGTGCCAGCAAAAGACACTTGCCATCTAGATATGGCCTTCCTTGATAAATAATGGCATACCATACATCCTTCAAACCATCCTTCAGCACGATTCCTCAATGAGCACTGAGGCTAAAAGCATCTTTATAGCTGAGCTGATGGCATATCTCACAAAGCTTCCTCCCATTTAATGCTAATAAATGGCACAGATGGTTATTAAGTTTATAGAAATTGCTACTGCAACAGAGAAATTTCCAACAAGATGGTTAAGAATATGGTTTCTCTTTCAGGTCGTTACATAACAGTTTAGATAAGTTTAACATAACTCTAAACATTGGGATGCCGTTGACTAAATAATATGTCATTGACATTTATCAACAACACTGGTTTGGAGAATGCCATGGTATTATTTATTGACTCTTCCTTAGCTCTTCACAAGAACAGTACCACCATAAAACTTAAGATAACGCACAAGTGATATTAGTTATTCTGAAAGAAATGGTAAATAGTGTACTGACTACTTTAACCCAGGCTCATTCTGATTATGTACCCCTATATACATTTCTGAAAGCGTCAAATACGTCCCAGGAGCTACTTTTTTTTGTTGCAGTTTTTGTTTTTGTAAGTCCCCCAGAGGCTGCTGCGTATATTTTTTCAGATCTCAAATTTCTCTCGCGAGTGCCATACGCAGTTGATGTTCTCTTGCAAATCCACCAGAGGCTGCTGTTGACTGATTGATTGACTGACTGACCAACTGACAGATCGATTCCCCTTCCCTAAACCCAACCAATAGTATTTTAGAAAGCACAGATTGACACGCCGACTCCCTCCCCTAAACCAAACCACAATTTTAAAAAGCAATCCAGAAAAAGATTTATTTACTTGTTTATTTTATTTTTTAGCTTTTGTTTTTTGCTTTACCTGCTTTCTGGAACTGTTCTTCACAAGACTCAAACCCCATTGTCACGGTCAACTCCACTCTGCATCTCAAGTACGCTAATGTACGTGTTGAGCTACTGAACAAACTGATAAACGTGAGAAAGCTGTCCATACGGAGGTAATCTGTCAGCTGGTAAGCGTGAAAAGAAACGGCATCATACACTCTCAGAAATAAAGGTACGCAGACTGTCACTGGGGTGGTACCTTTTCAAAAGGTACAAATTTGTACCTTAAAGGTCCATATTGGTACCTCAAGGGTACATATTAGTACTTAAAAAGTACAAAAGTGTTCCTCTTCAAATTTTCATGTACTAATATATACTATTGAGGTACCAATATGGACCTTTTAAGTACAAATGTGTACCTTTTGAAAAGGTACCACCCCAGTAACAGCTCGCGTACATTTATTTTTAAGAATGTACCGCCAATTAACGTTCATTTTAAAGACGAAATGCAGCCATACATAGCTCTGGCTACATAATTCACGACCTCCAGAAATGCATATATGGTTATGTTTTCAGAATGAGTGTGTTGGACAACTTGAAGCAAATTGAGACCTGATTTTGGCACTGCTTATGTCTATCATAAAAGAACAACAAGTGATAAACAGGTTTAACCTTTATGGTAAGAACAAGCTGACGGCCCTTTAATGATTCAACCATCTGGTTAATCCAGAGAAAAGCAACACATGCAATTTGATTGGTCCATCAAAGCCTTTTTGTTTCCTCAATACCTTTTCCGATAGATGACTCAGCCTTCTGGGACTTTGAGCAGTAGAAGGGCCATTTTTAGAGAATCTGATGCAACGTGACTGAATAATTGGATTAGAGGTGCAAATTTTTGGTTTGTTGACAAAGCAATGTCCGTCAGAGTTTGGCTCTAAAAGGACTTTTTATATCTCTGACAATTTATTGCATGTTTAATAATCCTTAGCCTCATCAAGATTTGTCCCCTACCAGCTGGACCCTGCAAGCACTGGGCAGCAGGACAATTCTGTGACCTTACACAGAAAAGCTCTTCACCTGGGGGCAGCAGACTTTTAGTAAGGAGAGATGAAGACGACACAAATGGCTTTGACCTCAACGAGGTCACAATATGGCTGAGTCTCAATTCTAGCAATAAACACTCAAATTCATCATTCAGTAACTGCTGCATGTCAGAGACGGCAGATGGCAGAGGCAAATATGTGCTGTTTCGTAAAATAAAGAGAACAGAGTGACTGACTGGTCTAATGATTGAGCGTTTCAAAGAAGAGGATTACAAAATCCTTCTATGAACCCTAATAAACAATACAGGGCACAGAGATTACTGTTGTTTTTATTTGGAGCTGTACAAGAGCCACTGCATGCCTGTCCCGACCAATGCAGGGAATTATATGTGCACTTTTTCTGGAAGAGCAAATCTTGCATCTGATACAGTCAACAAAACAGCACATCTTTGGATTTGTCAAAAATGTGGTCGATCTGAGGAACCTACATTTCTCTTCTATATGTCTAATAGTCTTCAACAAGGCTTTGGAGATCAACTATGCAGGTTTATTTATTTATTTCTATTGCATGGAGTGCTAAATCTGGTATAGCAGTTAAGTCCACAGTGTGAATATGAAGCAAATAGTACTTTCATGAGCTGTAGTCAGCTTGTGGCTGACGGAAGACAAAAAAACTTCAAGGCCCTGTAACTCTTTAGACAGAGTTGTCTCCGAAAATTCACCTCTTTCACTTCGAGAGGGTTCAGTACGAGGTCAAGGAAGAACAGGTTTGTCCTAAAGAACAGTGCATGTGCATTTCTCAAAAAGCTCCAGCTGGTAAAGGGTGCTTGTTATTCCCAGAAGTCTCTCCACCATTCCCAAGTAGAGAAAGGTCTTCACAGGAGCCAGCTGTCTCTGTGTCCGGAGTAAGAACTAGTCTAGGTGGAGGAAAGGCCACCCATCCTCCATCCTGCTCTTCCTCGAGTCCTGTGGTTGCAGCTGCGGCCGCCGCACACTCCTCTTTAAAGAGCCTATCATGCTCCTGTTTCAATTCCTGATAGGATCGCGAAAACATGTGGAAGATGGAAGTGGCTGGAAAGGCCATGATTAGGATCCCACTCAGGATGCTGCTGAGCGCCACCACCTGGCCGGGGATGCTCCTGGGCACCATGTCTCCATAACCCACTGTGGTCATGGAGATGATCGCCCACCAATAAGAAGCAGGGATGCTGCTGAAATCCTGCACTCCGGTCAGCTCGCTCTCCGCCAGGTGCACCAGCGGCGAGAAGAGCGTCACGGCCACGCAGAGAAAAAGCAGCAGCAGGCCAAACTCACGAGTGCTCCGGCGCACCGTCAGTCCCAGTGTCTGCAAACCCAGAGAGTGGCGGGCCAGCCGCATCACATAGAGGATCCGAAGGGCACGTAGGATCCGTAGTACCAATCCAAGCTTGTCCAAGTAGCCCTTACCTCCAGAAGGTCGCTCATTTTCGTCATTGGGTTTCTCATCCACAACCAGAGACACGTAGTAGGGCAGAATGGCCATGGCGTCGATGATGTTCAAGGGTCCACGGAGAAACTGCAGCTTGCTGCGTGCCTGCACGAACCGTAGCAGAAACTCCAGGGAGAACCAGGCCACACACACCGTCTCAATGATAAACATATGCTGGCATTTCTGCGAGCACACACCCTGTGGAGGGAGAAAGAAGAAGAAGCTAATTTAATTCCCAATTCAATTATTTTCAATGCCACTGCTTTGCATTTCAATTCAAAATCAATGCATTTAGGTTTCACATATAAGAAATTGAAAATTAAAGTTTGTGAAACAGAGAGCAAAAGGTTTGCTGGTAATACACAATAGTGAAAGGGGAATGGATGAGATAGGGAGAGGGCAGACAGAAAAACTCAGTGTTTACTTTTAGTATTCGAGTCACACTAACCGATAAGTCAAGCTGTAACACTTAATTAGCCTGAGTCAGGGGTCAGATTGAAGCGGTGGGGGAGGAATGGCTTACAGAAAAGACAAACCAGATCACTTTGACCTTGAAATGCCTGAATTAAATACTGGATGTTTGAGAAACATACTGGAAGTGACCCAAATGAGATTTTTCCCTCATGTGACATGCCTACAGATGTGATCCTTGAAGCTATACATTTCTCTTGCAGTATGAACTGAAAGCACACATGTAGTTGCAACCCAGACTCATTTAGATTACGCACCCCTATATACATTTCCAGAGAGAGCTAAATATGCCCCAGGAGCTACATTTTTTTGCAGTGTTTGTTTTTGCGAATCCGTTGGAGGCCGCTGTGTATGCTTTTTCAGACCTCAAATTTCTCTCGCAAGTCCCATTCACACATGCTCTTCGTCTGCATCTCAAGTCCGCCGACATATTTTGTCGAGCTACAGGAGAAATGGTAACAGTCAGCTGGTAAGCAAGAAAAGGAATGGCATTAAACAACCCCGTTGCGATCGTTTTAAAGACGAAATGTAGCTCTGGCTACATAATTCACGATCTCCAAAAAATGTATATACGGTAGAGGTGTGAACCTATACTGGTTTCACGGTTCAGGTTCGGTTACGATTATCATGCCTTCGATTCGGTTCAATTCGATATCTCGGTGCATCACGGTGCATTGACGATGCTTTCCATATACAGTGTTATATTTTAGGGGGGAGGCTATAACAAGCTGTCTGTATAAACACAGACACACAACAACACACTGTCTCTCATTCAAACACATACACAAACATAGACAGCACCAAACAAACAAACAAACAAACAAACACACACACACACACACACACACACACTTAAGCCCTCGCAACAGGGAGAGCTCACGCTAAGCGGAGCAGAAAAACGGAAAAAACAAAAAAAGAAGCACTTTTCCGACGGTCTCTTACTGAGAGCTCCTCTCAGCGCGAACTCTCCCGGCTAAACACATATTGCGCGGGCTTAAACAGAGAAAGCTCGTAATGTCGAGAAGAAAAAAAGAAAGACAGCTGAGAAACATAACCAGCTTTGTCTTTTTGTAGGAAACACACTTTAGATCTTTTTAGGGCAAGAGGTTTTTGAGTTATTGCCGTCTATAACTGAATGTGTGTCAGGAATATCGAAAACAAAACCAACTGAACCGCGCTCATTTCTGGCGCCCCCCTGGATATACAGCGTCCTTAGCATTTGCCTATGGTGCCTATGCCACGGGCCGGCCGTGAATTGGCTGAGTGTTGTAAATACTCGCGCTCACCTCCCTCGCAACAGAGCGCATAGGAGACGAATGACGTCAGTACATAATAACCGGTTATGATTATTACTGAACCGATACCGAATTGTCCGCGTCTGCATCGCGTTGCACCGAAGAAACAATTAATTTTGACACCCCTAATATACGGCTACTTTCTCAGAATGAGCCTGTGTTGTGTAGTTAACATAGGAATATCATCACATGGTTTTTGTCATGTTGTTATCATTCAGTAAGTGTCTTGCTGAAATCTTTAAAACCAGAGGAGGAGCGAGCAGAATCAGCAGAAAGATGCTGAGATAGCAGATTTAATTAATATTTGGTAAAATGCATTAGTTCAAGCAAAACCCAAGGGAATGTATCACAGTCATGGCATGTTAGCAAATTAGCTGTGCAATGTGCAGTTCCTGGAAGACACTTGAAGATGTAATGGTTTTGTTGATGATGTGTGTGCTTATCCTGGTAAAACTTGTTTTGTTTCTGTACATGCTCACTCACAGGTACTTTAGGGTCAGTTGCTTGCTCACACTAATGCAGATGTGTACAGTGGGCAAATTATACTGTACATTGACCATAAGGGGGGGCAAATCTTCGTCTGCATCTCAAGTCCGCCGACATATTTTGTCGAGCTACAGGAGAAATGGTAACAGTCAGCTGGTAAGCAAGAAAAGGAATGGCATTAAACAACCCCGTTGCGATCGTTTTAAAGACGAAATGTAGCTCTGGCTACATAATTCACGATCTCCAAAAAATGTATATACGGTAGAGGTGTGAACCTATACTGGTTTCACGGTTCAGGTTCGGTTACGATTATCATGCCTTCGATTCGGTTCAATTCGATATCTCGGTGCATCACGGTGCATTGACGATGCTTTCCATATACAGTGTTATATTTTAGGGGGGAGGCTATAACAAGCTGTCTGTATAAACACAGACACACAACAACACACTGTCTCTCATTCAAACACATACACAAACATAGACAGCACCAAACAAACAAACAAACAAACAAACACACACACACACACACACACACACTTAAGCCCTCGCAACAGGGAGAGCTCACGCTAAGCGGAGCAGAAAAACGGAAAAAACAAAAAAAGAAGCACTTTTCCGACGGTCTCTTACTGAGAGCTCCTCTCAGCGCGAACTCTCCCGGCTAAACACATATTGCGCGGGCTTAAACAGAGAAAGCTCGTAATGTCGAGAAGAAAAAAAGAAAGACAGCTGAGAAACATAACCAGCTTTGTCTTTTTGTAGGAAACACACTTTAGATCTTTTTAGGGCAAGAGGTTTTTGAGTTATTGCCGTCTATAACTGAATGTGTGTCAGGAATATCGAAAACAAAACCAACTGAACCGCGCTCATTTCTGGCGCCCCCCTGGATATACAGCGTCCTTAGCATTTGCCTATGGTGCCTATGCCACGGGCCGGCCGTGAATTGGCTGAGTGTTGTAAATACTCGCGCTCACCTCCCTCGCAACAGAGCGCATAGGAGACGAATGACGTCAGTACATAATAACCGGTTATGATTATTACTGAACCGATACCGAATTGTCCGCGTCTGCATCGCGTTGCACCGAAGAAACAATTAATTTTGACACCCCTAATATACGGCTACTTTCTCAGAATGAGCCTGTGTTGTGTAGTTAACATAGGAATATCATCACATGGTTTTTGTCATGTTGTTATCATTCAGTAAGTGTCTTGCTGAAATCTTTAAAACCAGAGGAGGAGCGAGCAGAATCAGCAGAAAGATGCTGAGATAGCAGATTTAATTAATATTTGGTAAAATGCATTAGTTCAAGCAAAACCCAAGGGAATGTATCACAGTCATGGCATGTTAGCAAATTAGCTGTGCAATGTGCAGTTCCTGGAAGACACTTGAAGATGTAATGGTTTTGTTGATGATGTGTGTGCTTATCCTGGTAAAACTTGTTTTGTTTCTGTACATGCTCACTCACAGGTACTTTAGGGTCAGTTGCTTGCTCACACTAATGCAGATGTGTACAGTGGGCAAATTATACTGTACATTGACCATAAGGGGGGGCAAATTTTTTGGTAACATTTGTTTGTGTAATATATCCTTCAGTCATTTATGTTTTTATTTAAATTACATCTAATTTGTTAATAAAACATATTTAAGGCTTCAGTGCTTTTGAGGAATATTTTGTGTTTTCTGACCTCCAGTATCCTCTGATTAGCTATTTCATAGTTTACTGTAGGTCAAACTATACAAACTATGCAATCTAATTTGACATGACGTTCAGGCTATATGTAGAAACAAACAATTGTTTAAAGAGGAAACAGTCTTGTGAACACTTATCGTGTCTATCAGTGCTCTAGATCTGCAGTTTTAAACTGTTGAAATAATTTTCTTTTGCACATAGACTGATTAGCAAGATTACGCATTCACAATGGTATAAACCATAATAGGGGTGGTCAAATTTATATTTAAATTATCGGTAACACTTTATTTTGATGGTCCATTTGAGTATTAGACTGTCTGCTTAAAATCTGTTGATAATGCTCCTTCAAAAGACATTTAACTGACTAAGAAACTTTGCAAGTACGTCAACTTATACTAACCCTAACCTCAACCCCAACCCTAACCCCAACTTGATAGTCTACTTATAGTCTAATGAAATTTAGTTGCAAAGTAACATAAATTCAACAAACGGACCATAAAAAAAGTGTGATCATTATCTACTATTTTAATTATTAACATTAATAGTTAAAATAGAAATCAGAGCAAACTATTTCTCAGTATTAAAGGGCCGATAACTAGCTTATTATTTTTTTATTAATTTTATTATTTTAAAAGGTAAGCGATTCAAAACAGTTTAAACAATATTTAACAGCTAAAACAGTGAATTAATCATAATACACACATATTTAGTCAATTTAAATAATTAGAACAAACAATAATAATAATAATACAAAAATGGTATAATAACCCATTCTCTATTCATATATTCTATATTACAATTGTATTATATTTATTTATTACAAAAATAAAAATAAAGCATGATTTTCATTTCATCAGTAATCTTACTGTTAAAAACAAAATAAAACGGAGGGAGAGTGTGAGAAACAAATTTAATTCTCCATCAATCTATTTTTTAATAAAAATGCTTTGCATTTAAATTGAAAATCAATGGCTTTAGGCTTGGCATAAATAAAAAAATAAATTAGAAAACTTTAATGTGAATGGGACATTTAAAATAAAATATCACTGTCTGAGTTCTCTCCATTCGGTCTGATTTATTTTTAGTTTAGTGACAGCACTTGTCTTATCTCTGCGAGGACATGTGGTTTTGAGTTTGTTAAAGCTGCCACTTTGTTATCTTTGAACTTTACTTGTGAGTGTGTAGTTTTTGGGCAAGATTGAGCTGTACTCTCATATAAAACTAACTGTTGTGTCTTTAATTAGCCACTTTTACACAA